ATTACAAAAATAAAAGGCAAACACAAACTTATACTGATTTGATGCTTTTCCATATCCATTGAATTCCAATGAATTGTAGGCTTTTGAAGATCACAATATATTTTTATTAACCAAAATCATCTCTTGATATAGCATTTTAACACATATAATTTTTTTATCTCAGCTTTATGGATTCAATGGGTGATCTGAGAATATTTTTTAGTTGACTAAGCCTATATGTGCTCATTAATTTTCAGTGTAATTATAGTTTTCTAATTTCCAGCGTTCTCTCTCCAGTTCACGTACAAAAAATGAAGCTGGTGCAGGAGAGAGGGGGAAGCGTGGAGGGCCTGGGGGGAGGGAGTGAGCAGGTGCTGGCCTCTCCCACCACGATCCTCCTTCCTGGGGCTGGCGCTACTTGTCGTCTGTGCTCTCAGGCATGCCTGCCCTCGATCAGAGCGGCCCGGAACTGGGCCAGGACGCCCCGGATGCTCTTGATGAACCCCTTGGAAAGCGGGAAGAGGGGAAAGCCGATGTCAGGGTAGCCGCTCTTCTCAGGCAAGAAGCTCCGGTAGCTCTTTCTCCGCTTCTTTGGTTTGACACTGGGGGGCACTGAGGCGTCCGGCGCTGCCTCCGAGGCCTGGTCTGTGTGGTCCCTGCTGGCTGCAGCCGGGCCCTGGGCGCCGCCCTCTGAGTCTGAGCCCGGGGAGGCCTCTCCAGGGGCTAGCCCGCCGTCCTCCGCTTCCTCCCGGCCGCTGTCCGAGAGCTCGGCCACGCCAGGCGGCCCTGTAGAGCCGCTGTCCTTGGAGATGCCGTTGGGCAGTGCCTGGGCCTGCTCCAGCAGGGCGTGCGTCTCCAGCCAGGACTCGATGCGGTTCACCAGCCGCCAGCCACCGGTGCGGAAGTGCTGCCGGATCTCCTGCTCGAAGACCTCGGCGGGCCGCCGCACCAGCTGGGTCATGGACTGCACCACGCGGATCAGCGCCATCTCGTTGTAGCAGCGGCTGTTCTCGTAGCCCTCCTGCAGGCCCCGGTCGCTGTCGAAGCCGGCTTCGTTGTAGTACGGCTCGTTCACCAGGATCAGACCTGCGAGGGGGAAGCCCATCAGGACCGGCTGACCTCAACCCCCAAGGGGGCGGCCAGCGCTGTGCCCTCCAGCCCGCCCATCACCACCCGGAGCCCCAGCCACTGTACCTTGGATGGAGATGAGCACCTGGAGAAGGCTGGATTTGCTCGTCCACCTCTCTGTCCCCTGAAACACACGGACGGTCACCTCTGTCCCAGACACCACCCCGATGGCCTGTCCCCCATCCCGACGGGTGCTGGCATGGTACTGACCTTTCCGATCCAGGTGCCCAGGAGGCTGACACACACCTTCCCATTGTCATACAGGTTGGGGTTCAGACGGCCACTGCACTGGGAGAGGTAGCAGAAGTGGGGGGGCACGGCCGGGTAGATGTTGGGGAGCTGGATGTCAAACAGGTAGAGGCCGTCCTCGTAGGGGGTGCGAGTGGGGCCCTTGATCAGGGCTGAGAAAAGGTCCTAGAGGAGGGAGGCGTGGCTGGCAGGGGCTCTGCACACGGGTCTCCAGAGCGCGTGGGCAGAGCAGCACCTGCGACTCCCCAAGGCCGGCGGCGAGACGCCAATGCAAACCCTCCGTACAGACCCACTTAATGTCTAACTCCTGGCATAAAAGGAATTTTCCAGGTTTTACTTCTCTTTAACCATTATTTCAGAAGGCTTCCGCAAACACCGGCCCTGACCCAGGCCCAACAAGGCAAGAACACTGACAACCATCAGGGGTGAAGGAGCGCCGCGGATGGCGGCCGCGCCTGCTTTCAGGGAACCAGAGGGACGGGGATGTGAACTCCAGGAGGACACGTGGGGAGAGCCACACAGACACCGAGGTCTGGATCCGTGGCCCTGCCAGTGAGGGACGGACCCTGAGTGCTCTCTCGGGGCCACCGTGGGCCTCAGGTTCCTGTACTGCATCCCTTCCCCTCTGAGGGAGATTTGGGAAAAAACAGAACAAAATAACAACAAAGAAATACTATTCCCTTCTCCCTCAGCAGAGGTTGGAATTTTCAAAAAGATGTTTCCTGAAAGCCAAGAAGAACCAAGCCCTGCCCTGAGCAGCACCCTCTGTGGTCTCTCTTTTGGGCTGAGCTGGGGCCTCGGTCAGACTCCAGCTCATGCGTCAGGGCGCCTGGCACACAGGGGGCCCAGCAGAGGTCTGCTGAGTAAGAAAGGGGGGAGTGGGGAGGGTCCTGCCCTTCCTGGAATAAAGGAGGAAGCAATGACACGGCATGGGCGGCATGACTCACACCCCAGGCCCCGCCACCAGGGACAGAGAGGAGTGTGATGTTGTCACATGAAGGCTATTCTGTGGCTAAAAAGGGAGGGACTAGACCAATATGAACCAACCTGCGTAGGTCTCGAAATTACCCTGCTAAGCGAGAAAAGCAAGTTACAGGTGATGTGCACAATGCCATGCTATTTATGTAAAACAAATCGTACAAAATAGCTTGTGTTTATGACGATGCATGAGAATGTAAAAACATAAAAAACATCATCCGTAAGGAAATGCACCGAAATCCTCAAGTCAGGACCCCGGAGGGCCAGGTGGGGAGTGGCCCAAGGCAACCTCAGCTCTTTCTGCAATGGGCTAATGTTTTCAGAAGGGAGTCTGGGCCCTGGCTTGTGTAGCTCAGTGGATAGAACGTTGGCCTGAGGACTGAAGGGTCCCAGGTTCGATTCTGGTCGGGGGCACTTGCCTGGTTGCAGGCTCAGTCCCTAGTGGGGGCGTGCGGGAGGCAGCCGATCAATAGTTCTCTTTCATCAGTTATGTTTCTGTCTCTCTCTCCCTCTCCCTTCCTCTCTGAGGTCAATGAAGATATGCTTAAAAAAAAGAAGACTGGACTCGGGTCCCAATGATATAATTTAAGACGAACTTTAAAACAGAGGGAGGAGAGAAGAAGCCACCTGGTTGGACTTTACCCCGACCTGACCGAGCCTGCTTCCCGCCTTATCACAGGTGTGGGCGGCCTCAGTGCCATCAGGCCCGAAGGCCAGGGGCCCACAGTGCCCATCTGCGCCTGCCCACACCGCCCACGGGCTACTTGCCATCCTGTCCTCGAAAGTCTTGACTGCAATGCCGTCGGGCAGCGAGGTGGCCAGCAGCGCCATCTCCTTGCGCACTGCGCTGAAGAACTTCTTGGCCTCTGGGGGCTGGAACTCAATTTTCTTAAAAGAGTGATTCGCTAGAGGGGGAAAGAGACCATGCAATCCCTGATGCGAGGCCTGAGCACCCCATCTAGAAGGGCAGCTGCCGTGCGTGCTCCCCAGACAGGTGAGCAGCCCACCGTCCGTCCCCACTCTCTCTCCGTCCTCCCCCCCCCCCCCCCCGTCTCCCCTGCCACCAGGACCAGTGGCCACACAGGGAAGTGTCTGTCCCCGGGACCCGGAGCAGCAGAGGGGCTGGGTGGGGACTAGGCTCTGCCCCCAGATCTGCAAACACCAAAGGGGGACTCACAGGGCGCGCACTCCAGCACCGAGAAGACCTCGCCCTTGGCGCTGGTGAAGGTGACACCGGGCTTGCCGCCGCACTGCTGGCAGAGCACCGGCGTCTCGCTGGGCCACTCGGCCTTCATGGGAGACTGCGCCTCGGGCTTGTCCTCCTTGCGCTCTGTGTCCGGCAGGGCCTCCATCTTCTCCTCCTCCGCGATGGCCACATTGTCCAGGGTCTTCTTGAGGTTTTCCTGCAGCTTCTTGATGTCATCCAGAAACTTCTTCTCCCGCGTCGGCTTCTCGGGCTCCACCGTCGGGGAGGTGGGGGAGCCCGTCAGCAGCTGCTCCACCGTCATGTTCTTGAGGCTCTCCAGGATCTTGATGGCCTCTTTCAGCTCCCGGAAGCTCTTCGGGGGCCCGTCCTTGCCGGCCTTCTCTATCAGCCCGGCCACCGGGGCGGCCATGGCCACAGCCCCCTGAATGGCAGCTGTGGCAGCCTCTTCGCTGATCACCACGCCCTTGTCCTCCTCGGGGGCTGCCGGCTGTTCGGTGGGTGGGATGGGGGGCTCCTCTATCTTGGGGTGCTCGTCCTCCACCAGCCCATTGTCCGTCTCCCAGCTGTCACTGTCGTCCTCCCACTCATCGGAGGACGCCCCACTGGTGCTGCCTTCCACTGAGTCATAGTCCGACTCCTCGATCTCAGACTCGATGTTGTACAGGTGCTGGGAACAGACGGCACCTCTGAGAGCTCTGCCGGCACCAGGGGCCGTGGCAGCCCGCTCCACCCTTCCCCTTCCTACGCTGGACTCTGCAGGTCGCTCTGTGCTAGGTGCCACCTGTGTCTCTGGGAGGTGCCTTCGCCTGCTCCATCCCAGCAACAGCACCTGGAGCCCCACCCCCAGAGGACTCGGGCCCCAGGCTGTGTGGCTACACTGGGAGCTGGGGACATGCCAGAGGAGGGGGCGTCCGGGACAGCTGGCCTGGGTCACATGTGTTCCCAGCCCTGAAGGAGGGGAGAGCTGGGCCTGAGGACGGCTCGACCAAGGAGCTGAAGGAATGGCACTGAGAACAGCGCTGAGCTCAGAACCCCAGCAGGTGCTGGGCCAGGCGGCTCTTCTTCCTTAGTTCTGTGAAGGTTTCCCTGGAAAGGTGGGTGGCTCTGCCACCCTCAGGGAGGAACCTGCATCTTCTCAGCACAGGGAGATGGGGACCCAGGCCCATCAGGGAGGTCTGTGACGTCTACATGCACCTGGGGGGCTGCCAGGTGGGGTGAGACCACAGAGCTGGGCGAGTCACGCCACCCTCCCTCTCAAGCTTCCCCTGGAACTCTGTTACCCACAATGAAACGCCTCACCAGGAGGATGAAGGGCCCTGGCCCTGGTCCCTGAGCAGAGAGGGCAGGCAAGGCTTCCAGCCCCGCCGCAGCTGAGCGGTCTGGGCCTGGCAGGGCCGTACCTGGGGCAGGATGATGGTCTGGGAGTTGTCGGCCCACACCACCTCCACCTTGCTGCTGACGTCCACGCGGGCCACCTGGCCAACCGATGGCTGCTGGGCAAAAGGGGCAGGGTCAAAAGTGCAGCCCTACAGGAGGGGCGAGGCCAGCACCTCTGAAAGGGAGTGCCAGCAGTGGGTGGCAAGGTGAGGCCGTAAAAACAGGAGGGAAGTGGGCACCATCTGGAAGAGGCCAGTGAGCAGCTCAAGCACGGGGCCCTCTTGCTCAAACACCTCCAACGTGCCCTGTGCCCCGAACTCCCACTCCACCTGCCGCCGCCGTGCACACCCCAGCCGCCCCCTTCCCTCGCGCAGCATGCTGGTCTCCCAGGCGTCCTGTCCTTCCCAGATGGGTTCCAGCCTCAGGCCTTTTGCCCCTCCGCTTCCTCTGCTGGAACCTGCCTGACCACACCCACCATCCCACCTGTTCTCCAAGGCCCAGCTCAGATGCCACCTCCCAGCCGGGCCGGGGTTCCTGCAGCGCTCAGGACAAGGAGAGGGCTTCCCTAGCGACCTGACAGGCAGCGGGCAGGCGCTCCTGGTGCCCGTGCGGGGGTGGAGGGGCAGCTTAAGATGAGCCAGAGGACTGGAGGTCTGGTCTCCCGGAGCCACCTGGTGGCACCACCAGGCACTGCAGCTGCTGCACAGGAGGCGCAGCTATGGGAACTTGAACTTGGGGGTGCATACCTCATCCTCCTTGGGAGGAGCTCCGTCCTCAGTGTTGCCGATGCGGATGACGATGTCGGTTGTGCGGAACCGGAAGTCAGGGTGGTCAGCGGTCTTCCTCTTCTCCAATCAGCTGGCACAGGATGGGTTTTCGTGAGCCCAGGGCCCTGCGCCCAGCCCACCAGAGCCCCCCGAGGAGGAAGCAGGGCTGCACACTCACCTCCACGTCGTCCCCACTCGGCCGCAGCTTGAACCACTTTACCACGCAGGTGCGGCCCACGTGGTCCCCAGACTGCACCACACCGTAGACAGCGGGGTCTGGGCAGCTCTGGACTAGGGAACCAGAGAGCACACAACTAAGGAGCCCTGGTGGTGTCACCTGCTACCCTCTCACCCACCCACTACGTGTCAAGCACAGCCGGGCACAGAGCCCACGTGTTCCCTGGCTCGGTCAAGAGAAGCCAGAAAAGGCTCCCCCAGTCCTCCAAAGAGCAGCCACTCTCACAGGGGAGTCTCCTGACCTGCGCCCGCTTGCCCGTTTGCCAGGCCCTGAGAAGGAATGGCCACCCGGAGCCGGCACTACCTCGCTTGTCCACCACGAAGTCCCCAGGGCAGAACTCGTTGTTGTCCAGGTGGTGCACCGGGAAGAGGTCGTTGGAGCGGATGTTGCACTCCACGGAGCCGTCCTGCCACATCACGTCTGCTGAGGTCATCGTGGTCACCACCTCCACCGCCACCCTGCAGTGGGGCCAGTGAGCCAGGCCACGCAAAGGCCTCCGGAGCAAGGGCAGGCCCCCTTCTGCCCTCCCTCTCTCTTGTGGGCTTGGTGGCCTGGAACTTCATTCAGACAAGCAGGGCAGGCCAGCGGGTGCTCACCTAGAGCCTCCATGGCCTATGACCTTCCTGAGAACATCCCGTTTGGAGAGCTCAAGTGAATGGTCAGGGCCACCGCCCCACCCTCTGTCTTACTCTCAGATCTCTCCTTCCCACCCGGGCCAACCCCAGGCACCGACATCATCTCAGCTGGGGACCACGAGCCTTTACAGCAGGGGTGGGGAACATTCAGCCTGAGGGTCATATAAGGCCCATGAAATCATTCGGTCTGGCCCTGCCAAGGCATTAGGGGTGAGTTAATTAAATGTTTGACCAAATATAGCAGGCTGATTTTTAAGTTGATAATTAAGGCCCTCGAATGATGTCATAAGTATCCAAATTGCCCTTGGCAGGGAAAAGGGTCCCCACCCCTGCTTTATAGGGTTGCAGACCCTGTGTGTGAGCCCAAGTGTGCACATGGGGGGTTAAGGGGATGGTCCCAGGCTGGACACTCAGCCAGGAGGGAGGGCGCCCTGCCCTCTGGGTGTACCTGTCGCCCGGCTTGAAGTCACGGGTGATTTTATTCTTCTTCCTCTTGTGTTTTCGCTTTAAGTTCTTGATAGACAAGGGGATGCTCTTTTTGCGATTCGTGCCACTGCCGCTCTGGGAGGAGGTGGTGGAGCTGGCGGAGGAGGTGACCGAGCTGGTGTCGTCCGTGTCGTCAGCAGCCTCATCGTCGGCGTCCTGCTCGGCGGAGTGCAGCCTGTCGTCTCCGCCCTCCTTCAGCAGGAAGGGGGGCAGCGGCTCACCCGCCTCCAGGGCCTCCTCGGCGCCCTCGTCCTGCATCTCCCCCGGGCTGGCGGACCCGTCAGGCGTCTCCTCAGGGCTGGCGGACCCCGTTTCACTCTTGGCTTTGGTCCCCCCCCTCTTGCCTGGCTCCTCCGCAGAATGGTCCCTGGAGCACTGGGTGTCGGGGGAGCAGGACATGATCCTCACGACCTGCTTCTTCAACAGGCGTTTCACCTGCGAGGCAGAGCAGGAGGAGCTGTAGCCAGGCCTGGCGCACCCTGCCCTGCAGAGTGGGACACCCCGGCAGGCTGACCCCAGGCAGCGTGGTCTGGGAGTGACAGCGACGTACTCCTACGTGGCCTGCAAAGGTCACCAGGACTGCCCCCCACGACCTGAAGCACAGACCGTCCTGCCGGGCTGTGGAAACAGCTCAAGGCCAGTTCCTCAATGCCCACCAGCCCAGCCCGCGGACATACCTTCTTGGCCATCGAGCCCTCCCCCTGGGCGCAGTGCTTCTCTGGGCATTCACAGGCGATCTTGGCCAGCTCTACTTTGGCCGGGAAGACAAACAAGCAGCGCTCCCCCAGCTGCCGCTGAGCATGGTCAAAGCACCCGAGACGCTTCACCCTGGGAGGGAGAAGCGGGGCTGGGCCAGCAGCTCTCGGCCCCCACCTGCACTGTGGCCCAGAGACTTGCTCGGGGCCGGCCCCAGGGTTTGTGGGGGGGTGGCACGCTGGAGCCACTCACCTGCCCAGGTTCTCCTGGGTGATGACAGAGGGTGGGGGGCTGACGCTGTCCGTGCCCCCTGGACAGAAGCTCTTGGTAATCCATGTGACTTTCAGTTCCACAACCTGCACCTGGGCGGTGAGCGAGCAGGGCCATAGGCAGCAGGCTCTGACACTCTCCCCTTAAGCAGCTGCCAGAGCCCACCTGACCTCCAGGGCAGCAGTCGGGCTTCAGTGTTCACCAGTACGACACCCAGAGCAGCCCCACCTGTAACTAAGGCCCCACCCTGGGATCCCTGTCACCTCCTCACCTCTTCAGGGCCCAAGGGACCTGCCACTCCCCACTCCCCACCTTGCTCAGCCTGGGTTCTCCTTATCCTCAAAGCCCTTTCAGAGAACAGGGTCCCGAGGCCAACGGGCTCAGCGCTCAGAGCAGGCAAGGACGGGGCGGGCTGCTCAGCTCCAGGTCCCACCCCACCTCCCCGCCGGCCCCCAGCCCTACCTCTTCCACCACCACCCGGAACTTGCTCTTGGTGCTGAGCACGGGCTTGACCCCCGACAGCCACTGGACACTGGAGAAGATCTTGGCGGGGCCGATGAGCACCTGGCCCGGGTAGAAGCCGTAGGAATCGTCGAAGAAGAGACCCTGCAGGGTTTGGAGCCAGAGGAAAGTGCTCCTGAGCAGCGCCTCCTCGGGGGATGGTGCTTCCCGTGCCACCTTCAGCCCCACTCCTCGCCGGCCCCCCTCGCCCAACACCTGCCCCAGCGAGGCCCCCAGGGTCCCTAAAACAAACCCCAAGGCTCCAGAGCAGCACAAGCTCGGCCACACCAATGTCGTTGGTCGGGAGGACATTCGGGGACTAAGGCTCTAGAGGACAGGGGCCCCCACTCTGTGTGATCGGCACTGCGCCCAGCACACTTATTTACAGTTGGTCGTAAACTCCTGCTCTAAAACGTCGTGCTGCACTAACACTGCATACATGCTAGACAAAGCCACCGAGGTTTTAAAAGGATGACACAGACCTCAACAGAATATAAAGAGAAGTCCTCATCCTTTCTGCCCTTTTCCAGGAAACCACCGTGCCCAGAAGCATTTAGCCTGGGCCAGCTACAGCTCTGTGCCATGAAGTCCTTTTCCCGCACAGCCCAGAGGAACAGGAACATGAGCCCCTCTCCCCCCCAACACGTACTGAGTCGCTGACGTGTGGGCAGACGTCGTAGAGCTTGGCACCGTCTTCTGTGTTCATGGAGCACCTGGAACAGTGAACATGGGCGTGGTGACCACGCGGCACAGTGACCGAGCCTCAGGGGAGGCCTGGCAGCCGGGACCCGGGGATGCTGATCAGTATCGAAAGAGCTATCCCCACACGTCCGTGTGTCACACGCCCTAAGATGTCACAATTCCTCCTCTGTCCACAGCTCAGCCTCTGGCCTGGTACAAATAATTCTCCTAAAACGAACAAAACCCTAACCCGCTCTCTGAGTGCCCAGCACCATTCAAATGTCTAACTCAGTGATTCCCAAAGTGGGTGCTACCGCCCCCTGGTCGCTGCAGCGATCCAGGGGGGCGGTGATGGCCACAGGTGCATTTGGGGGCGATGAGTAACTGCTATTAAAATTTTTTTTTCTTTTTTTTATTAACAATTTTATTGATTTTTTACAGAGAGGAAGGGAGAGGGATAGAGAGTAAGAAACATCGATGAGAGAGAAACATCGATCAGCTGCCTCCTGCACACTCCCCACTGGGGATGTGCGTGCAACCAAGGTACATGCCCTTGACCGGAATCGAACCTGGGACCTTTGAGTCCGCAGGCCGACGCTCTATCCACTGAGCCAAACTGGTTAGGGCTAAAACTTAAAAAAAATTAATTTCCAGGGGCTGAGTAATATTTTTTCTGGAAAGGGGGCGGTAGGCCAAATAAGTTTGGGAACCACTGGTCTGACTGAAGCCCCAGCTCCCAGCAGATACCCTAAGTGATGACGCTTCTCTCCCCCACACCAAGACGGGCCAAGACCAGAAACTGAGGGGGCACTAGGCTCCGGCGCTAAGGAGGCCCGGCCAGGTCAGGCCCTGAATGGCCCCGGCACCTGCCCCACCGGCTGTGAGGAAGCCCGCCCTGGGGGAGCACACCTGGCCCCATTGGACAGGGGCCCTGAGGAAGCCCGCCCTGGGGGAGCACACCTGGCCCCATTGGACAGGGGCCGAGAGGAAGCCCGCCCTGGGGAGCATACCTGGCCCCGTTGGACAGGGGCCGAGAGGAAGCCCGCCCTGGGGGAGCGTACCTGGCCCCATTGGACAGGGGCCGAGAGGAAGCCCGCCCTGGGGAGCATACCTGGCCCCGTTGGACAGGGGCAGAGAGGAAGCCCGCCCTGGGGGAGCGTACCTGGCCCCATTGGACAGGGGCCGAGAGGAAGCCCGCCCTGGGGGAGCATACCTGGCCCCGTTGGACAGCTTCAGGATGATCTGGTTCTTCAGGTCGTAGACCTTCCCCAGCCAGCAGTCATAGGCGATGTAGTCCCCATACATGAAGGGCTGCGGAAAGGACACGGGGTGAGAGGCAGCAGGCGACACGACGCTGGTGTCCAGGGCACCATCCTCTCTGTGCTCCGTGGAGACAGGAGGAAGGGTCTTCACAGCTTACTGCCCGGAGGTGGACTGGTCAGTCCTGGCCTAGTAACTGCAGCAGCCAGCAGGCTTCCCCAGGTTCTAGGCTGCACCCAGCTCCCTTTCCTAGTGTGAGGGCTGCCAGGTGGTGACGGGAAAGTTGTACAGAGACGTGGCATCCAAGGATATAGGACTCTGGAATGGAGTGGGCTGAGGAGGGCAGTTACAGGCACAAGGATGTGAAGTGGTTTAAGCAAATAAATGTCCTGAGGATGCCAAGAGCCAAGTTTCAACCAACTCATGTTTCAGTTGCACACAGAACAGGTGCTGACACATCTAGATGTGCACGCACACACGTACGCCTGAGTTCTGTCCCGAAAGGGCCTCAGCAGTCAGCACGCCCAGCACACATGCACATCTTGGTTTTGAAACCTGGTTTTCTGCTCTGAAGGAACCAGGGCTCCTTGGAGAAGTGACTGACTGAGGCTGGACCAGAAAAATACAAGTAAAAAGGAACCAGAAACATGATAGTCAAAAGGTCACAGACGCCAGCTTGAAGGGGCATCTATTGGCCAAACCTGGGATCATTTAAGCAACAAAAGAAATAATGGTGGTAATGGCTCCTGACCAACGGAATAAAGCAGGAGCCTCGGGGCCCACGCTGAGGTAAACAGTGAACGGATAAATAAATGAGCAGAAGGTTTGTTGCCTTAAAACGCTCTTCCATACGGCAGAGGCCACTGTACAAAAACGGGGGTGGGGGGGACGACGGGAGAGCCACAGAATCACCCAGCGGCCATCAGAGTGCTGCCGGGACAGGCGGGACTGCTACGGAGGCTGAGGCTGGCAGGCTGGGGTCTGACGTGTGACAAGTTATTGACACAATCCCAGAGCATCTCCCCACAACACAGAATTACTTGTAAAGAGGTAAATGGTGACTTGATGGTGGGGAGGTGTGGCAGACACCTAGGTGACCAGGGGTCACGGTGACCTTCACCGTGGTGCCGCCACTGGACACTGTGGGCCAGGGAAGAGCTCGGTGGCATTTCTGGGGCAGCCCTGCCAAGGATGCAGCGCTGAGGCTGGTCCCGAGGCAACCTCAGAAGCTCCACGCTGAGGGTCAAGCGATGGGCGTACGGGATGCGCAAGACAAAGCAAGGCTGGGTCCGGTCCAGACTGGAGGAGGTCCAAGAGGTGACCACGAAATGCAGGGTGTGTTCCTGAGTGGGATTCTGGATCAGGACGGGGAAAGGCCGCTGCAGGACAACTGAATGGTCTGTGGACTGGGCAGCGACGCACCGATTCCCTGACCTGGGGAACGCAGCTACATAGGAGATGCTCCTGACCTGGGGACATACACACTGCAGTATTCGGGGGCCACTGGCATCTTGACTGAGGAAAAAAGGCTCAGGAGAAGGGAGGAGATGTGGGGGAGGGGCAGGTGGGGGGCAAATGGAGTGGAACGTTAAGAGCGGAGGAGCCTAGTGATGCAGGGGCTACAAGAACTTACAACTTTCTGGGAAGTTTGAAATAAATGTTAAAAATAAATTATTGAAAAGCAGCTTGTTTAAAGGAAAGAGAAGAGTTAGAGGAGAAAGGAAACTAGGCCAAGAGAGCCACACCTGCAACCCCGCTGGGGCTGGAGACACAGGGCGAGCCCTGACCTCGTGTCTGAATGGCTTACAGTGGTTCTCAACCTTCTGGCCCTTTAAATACAGTTCCTCATGTTGTGACCCAACCATAAAATTATTTTTATTGCTACTTCATCACTGTAATGTTGCTACTGTTACGAATCGTCATGTAAATATCTGATATGCAGGATGGTCTTAGGCGACCCCTGTGAAAGGGTCGTTCGACCGCCAAAGGGGTCGTGACCCACAGGTTGAGAACCGCTGGCTTAGAGGCAGGAGTGGCAGGAGGGCTCCGAGGGAGCGGGAGGCCCTGGGCCTGGCCGGCTCACCTGGAAGGGGAAGCAGAGAGCGAGAGGGAAGGGAGAGGCGGCAGAGGCTCACCCAGATGTGCTGCAGGTCCTTGCTGTTGACGGGGTAAATGATGCAGTTGGTGCCGATGAGCTTGACGGCGCAGTCGATGCTGACGTCGATCACGGTGCCGCACTGGCTGTCCTGGGAGGAGAAGGCACAGGCTGAGCAGGCACCGGCGCCAGCCACCACGACACCCGGCCCAGACCGCCCGCAAGCAACCCAGCGGGGTGCGACGCAGGACTCACGGTGGAGCGCATGTGCCGGACCACGTCCCGGGGCACCACGGAGCGGTCCTCCAGTTTCAGCTGGACGAGAAAACACGTGTGAGTGGCCTCGGGAGTCACCCCAGGACACACCTCCGCCCCGCGTCCCGGGGAATGACAGCCCAGAGCACAAATCCCACGCTCTCGGATTTCATGAACCCCAGGAGCACCCCCTCACTGCACCCAGGGCCGGGGACAGAACTCCAGGCACTAACTCCCCCTCCACAGGCCAGCACAAGGCTGACGGAGGTCATGTGGATCAGTGTGGCAAAGGGACAGATCACAGAAGGCACCATTTAAAGTAGAGATTTAAGAGCCTGCTCTACACAGCGAAACATTTCCTAGGAGGGAATCCTTTCTGTACTTTCTGCCAGTGGCTGCCCTCGCCCTGCGATGAGGGCCGAGAGGGGTGGGCGAGCGTGATGCCAGCTGTGCGGGTCACCCTGAAGCTGCTATCAGCCGACACCACCTTCTAATCCGGGCTATCCTTGCTGGCCAGCTGCAGCCTGCCCTTATCTCTCTGCTGCGGTCCTGCCGGCTGCTGAGTAACGGGACAGCGGCTGCGGGAGCCTGGCCAACTGCGCAGCGAACGCCGGCGGCAGCCGCCCCCTCCCAGGGGACAGCCAGGGCTCCGGAGAGCTGCCTGTCCTCTGCCGGGCACGGGCCCCTCCACAGCCAGGTGGGAGCCGGTTCCCCACCAGGCCAGCCAGTCTCTTTGCTGGTCCCCATCCTGGGGCCACGCTCTGTAGTTCCTCATCGGGTCTGGTAATGGGGGGTCTCTGTACCCATCTCCTTTGGACAGGCACCCGCAAGACATCACACCACGGGGTGGTGAGCTGTTTCCTCAAACAACCCTCTCCACTCTCAAGCCTGGGCACGGAAAGGCGAGGTCCATGGAAGGAGAACAGACACTGGACAGGGCCACCGCAATGTTGGCGATGATGACTAAAGCCAATGCCGCTGTAACTAGACAGTGACTTACAGAAAGGGAGCGACGGCCACGCCATCAATAAAAGCCCAAGGACTTTCCTCCAGGGACATAAGCCCCTGACCCAGATGAGACCCCGGGGCAGACACGGAGACATGCCAGCTCTGAAACCTCAGGCAAGTCACACGTGCACATGTGTGTAAAGTGAGGCGACAGCAGCCCCCCTGGAGTGGCGGGGGACTGAGCAGGGAGGGAAAGCACCGAAGGTCACGGTGCTGGCACAGGAGGTGCTCAGCAGATACGGGCTGTGAGCTGCCGGCCTCCGTGCCCCGGGCACAGCCTCTGCTCCTTCTGCTCGAAGATCCCAGGAGGCTGGGGGGGGCGCGTGGAGCTGCTAAGGGTGGTGAGTGCCGGTGCTACTCTAAGTCAGGGAACGCCCTCCCCTGTGCCCTCTCTGTCCGGGACATGGCATTTTCCGTGGGCCCCACCCCTATCTCAAACCTCGGCTCTCATTTTAGACTTCAAAAAACCACATTGCAGGGCTTTCCAAG